ACATGTCACTACGTTTAAATAGGTTGACTTGGGACATTTTTTTCGTGGTTTTTGTATTAGACCCGTCGTCCATTTATTTGTAAGTCAATGATATGATGTACATTTTTCGAATGGCTTTATTTCCGTTTGTCAAAAACTAAATTCTGAAATAAAGCGACTGCTCTGCCTCTCGACCCAAGCAGCTATATTCTTAACTACGTACATCGTTAATTAAAACTGGTCTTATATTTCATTTTCCGAAAACTATAAGTAATTTTTTTTTAATGTCGCAGCCTTAACAATCTCTTAACACTCCAGAAACTTATTGAGTAAAATGATTTAGTACAAACCCGAAATTAAGTCTAACATTTCACTAAAATAACATAAAATGCATGTACAACAATGGATGTTCATTTATTTTGTCCCCTCATGACGTTCGTTGGCATGGTAACCCATCACAATTTTTTTTTCCAAAATAACATTTGTTTGAATTTTCATTACGCCGAAAACCAAATTATAACGAAGCCGTTGTTCTTTCAGGATATGATGGATGTATAGCGCAAAGACACGATTAGGTTCGGTTAGGTTTAAAAGAAAACACATTATATATTCTTGTTGGTCATATCAGCATGCCATACTGATATGACCAACAAGAATTGTTATCTTACGGCTGTGAAAACATCTCTTCAAGACACCAGGTCTTTATCAACCACGCGCCACGTAGCACGCAAATGTAGTTTTAAGGCGTCGGGTTAACCGCGCAAATACAATATTTAGTAGTGAGTCATATGATCGTACACTTTAATTTGGTCGCATGTTATTAGCTATCTATTTTATTATTTGTTTGTTTCTTAAGCGTAAGGTATAGAGCCGTCAGCTTAAACAAGCAACAAATAATTAATAAACCCAAACCGTAATTTTTATTTGTAAAAGAACTGTAATTATAAAAACCCTCCATTTTTTCTTCAACAGTCCCAAACCATCATGTTTTTCTACAATCTTAGCTATCTATCTTTTTAAAAGCTTCGAACTTCTGCATTTTTAGGTTGTTTATCGTAGGAAAGTAGTGATACGTGTTTATTTAAACATCTTTATTGAAATATTTAATCTATGCCGTTTAGATTTAAGTATTTAGTAGTATTTTAAATAGGTAATTCAAAATGTTGTCTATTATGTAAATGTTGTCATATATTTAGAACCATTTTCAAAAAGTTAAATTTAATTTTACTATAAGTAAATAGGTAATGCCTCATAAAATACCTCATTACCGTTTGTTTACTTATAGTTAATTACTAAACCGAGGAAAAATTTAAATCTAATTAAATTTGGTAGTATGGCTCGACGCCCTAGCTTGTCCCGGAGGACGAAAAATTTTACTACTAATTACTAAATCCTTTTTAATATGGTGCGGAAGATATTTCTATCAGTATTTGTATACATTTCTCCAAAGGGATAGAATGAAATCAATCAACCAAATCAGTAATTATGTACAGTCAAGCTTGGCACTTTGTGCTTTGGACCATTCTTATCGTAAGCAGCATAGAGTTGGATTTAAGTCTTAAGTGTAAAGCTTGACGTGCTCTTGACCCTGTACGTAAGTCTAGCAGGCCTTATATAATATTATTGTTCCAGTACGTATCGCTAATTTTGTAGCATACAAATTAATTAACTAAACTGATTTATCAAATGTCAAATCTTAATTTTAGTTCCGATTATAATGCATGTTATTATTTTGTCCTAATTAATTCCTGTTCTATGTTTACGATATTTAAATGTTAACCGCTCAAAAATCCGAAATTACATTTGCCTGAAACAACGTTTGCTCGAACTTTCGTAATCCCGATTTATAACGAAGCCATTATTATTTCAGGGTGTATATACGCTTATCGCGAAATAGATTAGATTAAGTTAGGATTGTTTTATAATGTTCTTTAAAAACGTTTTTCCTCGGAAATTTACTTTCAGGAATGTGAAAATTCGCACTTCTGATAGATAACCTATTTCTATAATTTGTTACCTGTCTAACAGGCTTTCCTAGTCCATAAATTAAATAAACGCCTTTGTTAAAACTGGCATTGTCATTTGCAACAAGAACAAGATTCAGCAGCTCATAGCGTACAGTTTTGCAGAAGACAGTATTCACTACTGTAAATGTCAAGCCTGTTGTTACAAAGCAAGGACTGACAAATTTTAAAAGGGACCGTTTTAAACAATTGAGCACTTGTAAAATTGAACGGAAACTGCAGTACAGCGACGAATTTTTTTTAACACGTCGTCCAGGCGCAGTTTCAGACCTCTCCGATTAGTAAATAACAACATTGCAAATGCTATATCTATCCTCTACCATGAGCTTACAATATAGATTGTCGTTAGTGATCGTGTAAAATAATAAAAAAACAATACTTCTGCTTGTGACAATTTGGCGTAGCGTCGATTTCTGCCATCCGGGGCTAACCTTAAATTTGCTGCCCCTCTATTAACCGATTACGAAAGTAGTCGTTCGTTCGTTCAAGCAGGCTTGCCTCGATTGTGTTTTTATGTTCGCCTGCGTGCGCTACCTTTGTGTTGTTCAGGATTTTCTCAAACAATGAATATTTTTTTCAAATTTTAAGTAAAAAAAACCCCTGCACCCCTATGCCACGCCACTGCGCTATACCATGTCAAATTGTAAAATATTTGTCGCTGCTGTTATCGATTACTCGTACTTGATGACGTCACAAAATTGAGTAAAAAAAATTACCAATTCAGTTTCAGGTTTTATTTCCAAAAATAGTGTACCATATACTGTACAAGGTGCCAAGTTAATTCTAACCGGCAGCGGTACTACACGTACAGATGCAAAAAATATGAAAGGTAACTAACAGATAGGTCCAGGCAGTCGTTCCCATAAGGACTCGTCTAGACACGTATCGACAGTTCTGATGTTTCTCACACTTAAATAAAATACGGATCAAGTATGGTTCAAGTAGTCATCATTCGAGGGAAAAATCTTAACAGCGCGATGTAGAAATTAAGTAAAAAGGGTCAATGCCACCTAGCGGATTTTTAGAGAACTATATGACAAACAAAGTTGATTAAAAAGTATTTAGTATAAAAAAGGTTTGTTACACAATTTAATTAAATAACATATAAATATTAAACAACATCACATGTTGTTCCGATCCCAAAGTAAGTTGACATAATTGATATTTTTAAACCAGGATCGCGCATTGGTATTTTGATTATGGAGTATGATTATAAAATATAAATAAAATACTGAATAATTCTGTACTTAAGATACTATAGTTCAACTACCACAAACAACACGTCTACCTACTATGTCATTTTTAAAACACGGAGCGACCGTTTCAATTCTATAATTAATGAGGCGTGTGACAACTCACGCTATGCAACGCGAGTGCCTAGTTATGCGAATGTGTGCGTGTACACGACGCGTGGTGAGCGTGCACACATACAAGCCGCGCTGCTACGTTTGTATGTAGTTACTTATTTCTTTTAATTATACTGTGAAACTATCGAATGTATAGTGTTTATCCAATTCATTATACGAATCGATATCATTTGGATGTGCGTTTATACGTTATCGACTGTAGCAATGTAATGGATTTTTTGGATAGAAACTCAGGGAGAAGGTAACAGAAATTCATGGTAGATACTGGACATAGGAGTGAACTGCGCTCACATAAATTAATTTACGTTTTTCCGCTTGATCTCTCGTATCCCGGTTTAAATTTCCCGGGAATTGTTTTTATTGCTCGAACGTCATTCAAGGGGAGAAAAAGTGATACAGGAAGTACACAACAGTTTAAAATTCTAAATAAAATTAGAATCGTTTGGTACAAAAATACGTTTTATGTTATTTTTTATACAAACAATAACTTAGCCATCTAAATATAATAAATTACAACGATTCGTCTGATGTTCTTTTTTGTGTTTCGAATTATTACCGAAATGTCCCCAGATCGACTTCCGCCCCAGGGGGTTATTACGAAAACTTTGCCCAATTCCGGTAATAATCCTCGAATTTTACGACTGGCAATTCGTAGTGGCAAGTCTTTAGGATATTTAAATTACAGAAGCACCTTTATCTGGCTACAAATTGCATCTTGTAGTTAATGAATAAGGTCTAATAATTGAATCCACTCAAGGGGGAGAATCAGTAATACTTAATATGAATCAGAAAACATAATTACGCGGGATTACATTTTCTAAAAACATGTTTATGAAAAAGGGGCCAAGGTTATATAATAATAGAATTGAATTCTACGTAGATCCCAACTTCAACTAGCGGTCATTGAAGGCCAAGTACAGAAATATATAACAATACAGATGTTGTGCAAATGTGCGGTATCCCACCAATCTAAAGGTATGTCATTCAATATATCGCGTACTTGGCATAATAAGGCCACGACATAATGCAAATTTACAACTTTTCGGGAAAGAAGCTTCTATAGTAAATATTCTTCCAAAGAAATTAGCCGGTAAATTTATTACGCTTACGAGGGGAGTTAGAAATTTTTTCACATATACGTGACATGGTTCATGTTCTTTTATGACTTTAACGATAACATGTGGCTTTATTCGCCAATGGTACGATATTCTGAGTTTTATACGGCAGTAAATAGATTGAAAAGATTGGTGTAATACAAAACACATAACGTCGCCTAGCGTGGATACCTCGTATGTGATTTCTATTTAATTTGTAGTAAAAGTGGTGTAAAATGTATTAAATGTAATAATGTCTGTAGTTAGCATTTTAATTAGTTAAATTAGAACTTTTTCAAATACCATAAATACGACGACATTTAAAAGTTTTTCTTAATTAAAAATCATAAATGTGAAAACGCGTATGTACGCGCGTGAGTACGTCGCTACCTATATCCAGATATAGATAACGGTTCTACCAGAATTCATTTCTACAAGATTAAATGGGTTATATAGTGTGACTATGCAGATGTAAAATGATAAAGTTCCGTAGTCAAAAAAGGAGCAATAATTAAGAAAACACAACTACGGAATGCCTGTATTGTCGGCACCACGGTCTTGACCGTTATTAATACTGATTTTCCCCTTGTCGTGCTTTTAACTAATGTTATAATCAGTAACTAACTATAGGTAACGTAACGTACGTTTTTGTATTCAACATCGATTATTGGGCTTTTCTAAACTTAATTCCTTTTTAACTTTTCGATTAACGAGTTTGATACAAATTTTAACTGACTTCTTTATTGATTTACATTAAAATACTTGTTAACACACTGGTTAAGTTAATTTACCAAATACATAAACTTTGGTACAGTAAATTTACAATAATTAAGTTTGCGTCGCCTTTCAATCTGAAACAAAGTTTTAATTGAGTTATTAATATATTGGTACACGGTTAACTGTGAAATTACGTCACAATTTCTTGAACTATTGTACCGGTATTACTGCGAAGTAGCTGGTGACACTTTACAAATTGAACAGTGCAATGATCTAATTCAATTATGATTAAGTATGCTGACGATACTTAAGCTGTTGCATCAATATATTCCGATCTATTTTTTTGGAAATTATGGAAATTTTGCCTCAGCTCAGCTTTTACCAAAATCTCATACAAATATTAAACAACATCACATGTTGCTCTGATCCCAAAGTAAGTAGCTAAAGCACATGTGTTATGGAAATCGGAAACAACGACGGTGCCACAAACACCCAGACCCGAGACAATACAGAAAAGTAAATTTTCTACATGGACCCGGCCGGGAATCGAACCCGAGACTTCAGAGATGGCGACACCGTGAAAACCTGTGAGCGTGCGACCACCGAGGTCGTCATTCATAATTACCGGAAAGTTATTTTGAATTGACGTCTGACTAAACTAATAAGATACTTGAAATTTTTGGGTCAACGCCTTTTCCGAAATAATAGGAAGAGACGTAGATGGAGACGGAGAGACTGTGATAGATCAGATGGATGTAAAAAAATTCGCAAAATATTTTAGGGAAATCTTTAGCTTGAATATTGATCGTTTAAGTTTTTTCCATTCACCTTTCCCGACTGATCACTTCCGTGCTCCAGTGCTAAGGTCTTGTAGTTCGCTGCTGTCATCACTGGATGCGCTGACTGGACACCCGTTGGATGTGGACGGATTACCAGCGGCTGCAGCCATCGCCATTGACAGCGGGATTGTGATGAACTGCGGTTGTGATGATGATGATGCTGGAGATGACAATTATGATGAGTTTAGGATTTAAACTACGCAGCTTATAACGCAGACCATTTGAAATATCTTCACTGCTTTGCTAAAATTATAAACATAGACGTTTGAGCCCATTTCTCAATATTATAGATAGAATTTCTTCTGAAAATTCATAGCATTTGAATATGGTTTAATGGAAAGACCGGTCACTTTTAAAGGCGTAGGTCGTGATCCTAATTGAAAGTGGAATTGTGGATATCGATGGTACACCCTCACCTAGAAGATATCTGTCTGCCTCATTAGGCCCTTAAACATATCCTGGTGGTACCGTAGTTAGACGATTTGTGGTACAATCTGGTAATCTTACATTCCAAATGTTCAAGCTTGCTATAACTAAATTTGCTGAAGACAGCCTCCTTCCTATCGAGTCACTTACCACCTTCTTGTCCTTGATTAGCCAGTCCCAAAATGAAGCTAGGTGGATATCCCATTGCCAAGTTTCCAAGTCCAAGATTCGAGCCAAGTCCATCCAAGCCCACACCCGCTAGAACCCCCGAGTGGTATAACATTGCTCCTCCCGGAAGGTCGATTTTGGGCAGTATCTTTGGTAAAGTAGGTGCTTTACTGCTGTCGGCTTCTTGAGTCGTTGCTGATGTCGATGCTTGAGGGTCGTTGACGCGTTCCCTGAAATTATGGTAATTTGTCTTATTGTCCAGATGCACCAAGAAGACAAGTGGAGAGTAAGGAATAACGACGACTGTCTCTTAACTAACAAAACTACAAACAAAATGGTTACATGTATTTTCATGCTTCTTTAAAATATTGTCGCTATTACAGACGAGTGACACAATTGTGTATATGTTAATGCGTGTGTACGTATTAGTGAGAATTAACGTTGAAATTTCAAATTCCTTTAAGGCGAGGTATTTCAACGCGAGTCTATATTGTGGAGGTGAGGTGTGAGTTTCCGAATTTTGGGCTAAATGTGGATTTAATAACTACAGGGCTTCAGCTGAATATCAAAATTTAGCGGGTTCTCTGTAGTACTTATAGGGACATGTCCCCATATAAAATTCATGTACAAAGTTAGATATTTTATTCTTAAATAATTCGTTTTAGACTTTTGTTTTAGTGTGTTTTCAAGATTTTATATGATCGGTTAGAGCATTCCATCGTGTAACAGATTAGCATATTCTTTAGTAGCAAAACAGTTTTTCCCGCTTCTCTTCCGATGACTCGCCTCAATTTTTTATGCTCTTTAGCAATCCCTGGAGTTTCTTGCTCGGTTTTCTCAGGGACGTGAGCACAGTGAATGAGCCATACCTTGAAAAATTACGTTTTCAAGCGTAAACTTATTTTACCTGCTACTCCCTCCCGGTTCATTGTTATCAATGGTCCATTCTTGTCTATGATTCTGTTGCTGCAGCAGTTTCTCGGTCGGAGACTCAGGTTCACTGCCGCTCTCGTCACCGCTGTCCCCGGAAGATGGTGGCTCGTCCTGTAAAGAAGAGAATTGTAACTTAATACTTGTATCTCTCCCTTATTCAAAGGTATTATGATTTATGTTATTTGTATTCGGCTCAAAGAACACGCACAAGAAATGTCCAACAATGCGTTGTGGTTTACGACATCCATAATACGTGCCGCTAACTCAAAGAGGCTACAATTCGCGTCGTGGCTTTTATGATTTTGAACCCAACGTGTTGTGAATTTTTTTTTCGTTCAATCTGCGTTTATAAACACGTGAATAATTATTTATTTTTCATAACTAAGTTAACGTTGCAGTTCAGATCTTAATTTATTACCAATAATAGGTAAATGATATTTAGACTAGCGATGGGCGAGTCGAGTTATTTAACTCGGTTATCTCGAGTTACTCCTACAATGAGTCAACTCGAGTAACTTTTCCATGAACTCGAGCTAACTCGGTTCGGTGCCCGCCCCGCCTCCGAACCGAATACTTCATTCATACAGCGCTTCCGTAACCTTCGAAGCACGCTCGAGTCGCGAGCGATGGGCGAGTCGAGCACTCGGTCGGTTTGGTGATCTTCTCTCAAACCAACCGAGTGATCTCGTCGGAGTCTGAGTCTGGGGGGCTACTCTCGACCTCCGTCCGACATCCGTCCGACACAATTACTGTCATATAAGTAATATTCGACAAAGTTAAAAAACAAGTATCCAGTATGAAGCTTCATTCGCATCACGCTTCTTTTCATTTGGTCAGGTATTGCTTATTTGGCAGTAATTGTTTCGGACAGAGATCGAGAGTAAACCCCTGAGTCTGAGTGAACCTCGAGTTGCGGTCGGATCGTGCCCAACTGAGTGAGTCGTCGGTTCGAGTACTCACGACTCGCGGTTGCTCTGTAAGACACCGAGTCCAGTTAATTCGAGTTGCAACTCGACTCGAGTAACTCGAGATGAAAAAAATACAACTCGTCCCTTCGCTAAACTAGATCAAGGATATTGTTCCTTATCCAAGTCATTCGCATCGCTGAATTTCAAGATTGAGATTAACATTTTTCTTTAAGTTCTTTGTATTTTCGCGTTTGCAACATCATTGGTAATAAAACTATTTATCCGGATCTAAATTGCGTATACTCGTTTTATCAAACACGCCAATGTTTTGGGCTCTTTACAGGTCCCATTACCACGGCTCACTCATGGCCATGAGACCTTTGCAGAGACCAAAACGTTGGTTTGTTTAAAAAAAAACTGGATTTCAGATTCCATTTAAAATTTTTCTTTGAAGTTACTCAAACGCGTGAAAAGATTGGTGGATTTCAAATAAGCATGTAAGAAGCAACATCGATAATATCCTCCCTAAAAGCAACTTAGTACACTAACACCCGGAGGCTATTGTGTACCAAACTCGTAACGAGAAACCCACAAGCAGTCGGCCTCCGATACAAGAACATCTAACCGCAAATTGGAAGAGTTGTTATAAACCACGAAATTCTTTGTACCCAATGATACTTCTTAGATAATGAATTGTCGATGCAAAAGGACTTTCTTTCGAATAGTTTATAATTTTATTACAATTAGATATTGTTTTATAAACAAAAAATTTTGGCCGTAAGCGCCTTTCATAAGTTTCTCTCAGATGGCGCTGACGCCAAAAAGCAGTTATTATACAATACAAATATTTGCAACAAGCACATAGAAAACTTAGATCTACTGACTCGGTCTGCAACTCAGTTGGTTGATTAGCTATGGTTTAAGTATATTTGGTCGTACTTACGAAACCTATATCCAGGATATTAAAAAAATCAGTTAAGATCAATAAAATTTTTGGTAGATAAAAACACAAAGAAAAAATGTAAAGACGATTATGAAGAATATGTAAAATATTGCCAGTTCATAAAAAAGTAAAACTTACGATAGCCATTGAAAATTATTATAAGAGTGAGGATAAATTATTGGCATATAACAGGTATTACACAAAAAGAGCTAGAGAAAGGAAATTAAATAAATGTAAAGTTAATAATAATTACGGAAAAAGAACTGATAATATGTTATACCAAAAATATACAATAAAATAGACTGGCTCAGAGAAAGTACGAAAGTTAGTAAAAAAGTGTTGAAAAGAAATTAAAAAATTTATTGCTAAGTGATGCAATAAGTGATGTTTTAGTGAAAGAAATATTATGATTAGAGATCATTGACTTAGAAATAAATGGACGACGGGTCTAATACAAAAACCACGAAAAAAATGTCCCATGTCAACCTATTTAAACGTAGTGACATGTAAATGAATATGAAAAAGCTAAAATGTTGAATTTAAATTGTAATGTCATCGCAGTACTGTCTAATTTTGCTTGCTTCGCTGTCAGTCGAACAAACGAAGACTAAAGCGTGAATGACGCTCTGTATACGATTTTAACGCCCTATAAGTTCGGACACTTTTTAGCGCGGACCCGACGTCCATATAATTGTAAGTCAATGTTAGAGATAGTATTATTTAGCAAAGACAGTTTTACTATAGAATATTAGCTACCTAGTATTTAATGTAACTTAATTAATGAAGAATTAACTAGAATAGATATACATATAGGTTGTGACGGTGTGACCTCTTTACGCCGTCATCTCACCTTTTTGTATCGCCTCTCTCCGCTTGTATCCTATCATTTTTTTTTATTTTACATGTATGTAAATTTTAAATTTGAATTGTTCCATCTTCCTTCACTTTCTCATTTTGTTTTCGTACCACGGTCACTCCTAGCTCGACCGCCATAACAGTCGGAGCTGTTTCAAATTCCATCGCGAATAATCCCTAATTTTGGTTCTTTACTACGTTTATAATTATTAAATAAGCTAAATCATGTGTAATAATTTATAACAGTCTACAGCCTTCATGTACCATATCTGTAATTCAGTTACTCGGCCCATTAAGGGGTAAGCGCCTTTATTAAAGTGTAGGGAGTGTTTTATACTGTTGTATCTGTTTTTTTTTTACATTTACCTTTTATTGTTACAGCCCTTTCTTTTAACTTTACTTCTTTAATAAATTTTGTGAACCGGAAGTTTTCCTGTCATTGCCGTGAACCTGTTCACGGCTAGTTAGGGTTATAACCCTTTTCAAGGTAATGTAAAAGAGCGTTGCCAACAACCTGATGCCCAGGTTGGCAAGGTCTTTAGAATGAGTATAAATTGTATATCTATGGAGAAATAAACAAATAATAATTGCCCCGTTATGACAACAGACGCTGGTTCGTGTTCAGTATAATCGAAGCAATTTTTCCTTGCATTTTTACATTTTTCAATAATTCTAGATATATAACTGTTCAGAGTTTTGACGTATATTAAGTTTTGTTGAATGTCAGGATGTTTGATCACCATGATGTTTAATTATTTTTTGTGAAATTACTCCACTAGTTTGTTATAATTATTAATCAAAGTACAATCACTTTTTAAAATTCACTTCAATCCGGTTGGATTCGAACCAACGTCTCCTAGCAAAACTACGCTTAGTTATATGTAGTTAGTTATAAAACTTAATTACAATTATTACAGGGACATCCCTAGTCAGCGGCTGGTAGTTGTAAAGGTACCTAGCCGAGTGAAGAAAAACTATCATATATTTCTTATTTCTACGACAAAAAAGTCTTAAAAAAAATAAAAAACAAAGATCTGCAACAAACACATGGAAAAATTTGGACGTATATAACGTACACATGGGACTTGTGACCTTTATTTCAAAGTGACGGGAACAATGGCAATCGCCAGACGATTTAAAGCACGGAATGGTACTGCAACTATTATGGGTAGGCGTGTTCCTTTTTACTCAAACGCACGACTTCTTCGTTCCATCATTTAATATCATAAAGAACAGAATGTCTGTATAATTGTCGGACGTTCAAGGGGAGTCGTCTTCTCCAGTCAGAGGTTCCCATATCTTACTTAAATTTTGTTTATAGTGCCCATCCATATCAACCATTGGTTATACGGGAAGGGCAATATTATCTGTGCAAGCAAGCCTACACAGGGACTTTATCAGTCAGGTCTTGACCTCAGATCGGTGCACTTACAACACCTTTCCTAACGTCTAGAAGGTCCCGGAGCTGTAGGTTCTCTCACCTCTCGTAGCGCATTGCACAATTGGCGGTTGTCACCGTTAAGCCATTCTTTCTAAAGATAACTACCACATGCTTTGGTAACAGAGCTGACGGCACGCTCATCTGCTCTTACCGGGGAGCCAGTAGTCCCCCCGGAAATATCTATCCATCGAATGAGTAGATAGAGAAAGGTCAAAGGTTCAATCAGGACAGCCCTTGTGGTTTTTTTTCCAAAAGATAGTCGCTTTAATTTTGAATCTCTGTCCACCTAGTCAATCTGTCTTTGTGGCCAAGCAGGCAGCTGATTATCCATTGTTAACTCTTTTTAAAATCAAAATTCTATTTAAAGCACATCCATCATGACTTATTATTAAGGCGTACTTGTGAAAAAATTAGTTTTTTCTAATGTTGTGACTATAAAAGTTTTATCTATCTTTACTTCGTCAGCAGGTGTAAAAGATGGAAGCGGAAATGGCTATCTAGAGTCCTTTCCGTCCCCTCAAAATTAATAATGTACAGTCCCGAAGGGCAGGCACTTTGTGAAACTCTAAACGTCGATGATGAATGGAACTTATTTTTAGAATGAACGATCTTGTAACGTTTATTTAACGAAAAAAAAAAACGTGTTCGACCAGAATTGTGTTGGGGTCATGGAAAAACTTTGGAAAATTCATATTTTTCCTATATTTTATTATTATTTCACTAATGGCGGCCACTAGGCTTTTCACATTTTACAGTTGACATCTGTCAAAAGTTGACGATGCTGAACGACAACGATGGAGCCATTAAAACTTTATTTAGTAATGATTCATTTTCCCGCAGTTATCCAATCATTTTAAGTCTCGTTTTACTCTAACTTGCTTCTAGTTAGACAATTTTATTTTGTTATTCACGCTATATAAAACTTTAAAAGATATTTAAACGTGAAACATAATAAAACATAACA